TGTATTTATAATGTTTTTTAGGGTAGAGATAAAATACAATGTACATCCTTAAAAATGTTATTTTAATAGGCACCTTTGGACAGATTTTTTGGTAATTGTATGCATTATTTAAAAACTAAGTTAAATTAAGTACAACATTTTAAAATATANATTATTTAAAAACTAAGTTAAATTAAGTACAACATTTTAAAATAGAAAACACAGAATTTTAACACAAAAATAGCATATTTTTGAATACGCTAGACTTTTCACCAAGAAGAAAATCTATATTTCGAATTTTTTTTTTTATAGTGAAGTATATAATATAAGCTTTAATTTAAGATTAAATAAAAATGTCAATATTTCAGGAACATTTTCAAAAATTACATTGAAAAAACTTAACTTGTGTGCAAAAATTGATTTTTTGAATTCCTTTAGTGGACAGGTTTAGAGTCAGATTTTCAAAAAAATTATATAAAATGAAAGAAAAATAACTAAGATTTCAATATAAAAAAAATAATTTTAATTTGTCCATTTTTCAAAAAGTCCATTTTTCATGGCAGTTTTAAGAATTAAAATATTTCATGCTAAACAGTGATTTTTACACAAAAATTACATTTTTCGTTAAATTCGACAGCCATTGTCCTACAAAAGAAAAGGTGACGGGACAAATTTTTTTTCGAACTTATTGTAAGCTTTAATTTGACATACGTTTAAAGATTGCGGTATTTCCGGAACATTTTCAAAAGTTAAGTTGAAAAAGCTAGTTTTTAAAAAAAATTGCTATTTTAAATCCTTCCTTGTGAGCAAGTTAAGTGTTAATTTTTTTTAAAAAATGATATCAATAGAAAGGGAAGTATCTAAGGTTTTAATAAAAAAAAGTTGTTTAATTAATTTAAAAAAAAAAAGTGAAAATATTTAGCGATTTAAAAAATTGTAATTTTTTTGGAAATTTCCCCCATTTATGGGGAACGAAGACATTTTTTTCAATTTATAAGTATAATATTTTCAACTAGATAAGAATTGTAATCATTTGACGTTTCGTTGAAAAAGTAGGTCAAGTTAGAGCGGAGAAAATAAATGATAGTCACAAAAAAATACCTTCTCAGCTTTGCATTGAAGCTAAAATCTAAAATATAGTAAAATAATTTTAATATGAATAAGAAATTTCTTCTCGCGAGGGGTAACTATAGTGATGGGATCCTTGAACTTTATTCAATTTATTGAATTTAAATGAGATAAATATCAAAGGAGTTGAAAATTTATTCTAACATAAAATAATTTATCTATTTATATATCATGAACGTCAATTCACTTTTTTTATAAACATCATTCAAAACAACAATTAAAATTACATTAAATGATATTAATTACAAATATTGCAAAATAAATAAAAAGTTTAAAAAAAAAAAAAATGTAATAATGCGATTAATTCTGTTCATCATAATACAATTTAATAAAAATCCTTTTTTTTTATCTTCTAATTAAATAATAATAATAATTTATAATACACAAAGATAAGAAAATTGATTAAGGAGTGAGTAGAATAGCAACTACCCTTTTATGGACACTTATGCAATTATATTACTTTTAAAATAATTATATCATATACGATCATTAACAAAATTATTGAGTGGCCTCTACAATCATATTAAAATAATTTACCTTTTAATTTTAATAATATTCTAAAATACTTTATTACATTAATATGAAAAGAGAAAGTTATCTGAATTATTGAGTTCTTTTGGGTATTAAATACAAAAATCATTCAATTTTTTGTTAAAATTAGTCAATTATGTAATATTTTGCAGAATAACAGAAAACTTACACGATTCTAATTTATTAAAATTAAAGTTTATTTAATTTAATAAAATTTAAAAAAATAAACACGTCTGATGACTTTTCTTTTATGAATAATAAACCTACAAAGTCAAAAATCATGATATTTTTGGTTGACAGTAAAATATTTTTTTTTAATGTCTTAATAAGCATGGAAGCATTTTACGACTGTAATTTTAACCATTGTTAGATATCAATAAGGGTTAATCTAAAAAAATGTCTCAACTCTACACTACAGAATTCCTAATGTACTTGTTAATTTGTATTATTTATATGTTCTTTCTATTTAGCTTTAGCCTTACATCAATGATTAATAATAATAATTATTATTATTTGTTAATTGATAAATTCCGACACATATAAATGGTGTAATAGTTTGCTTATATGTTATTATTTTAGCAGATATTAAGTTCTAAAATTATATAAAACTACTGTGTCATTAAGAATAAAATTATTTTTTGATTATAGAATCGTACCACCATTGATACTTAAAAATACTGAACTTAAGATTGGTGCACTAAATAAATTATTTTCAAAACGTCATTTTATGGAGCCTTTTAAGAATATTAAAATTATCATAGAAAATCGTGAAAAAATAGACGCGAGTATATTATTTCAAAGTGAAGTGAACTCCGAAAACTTAAACCAAATAGAAAAATATTTTGAACAATTTATAAGGTGTAGGTATACCGAAATACTTAAGAACTATGAATGTTTATTGTCCACCATAATCAAATTTTGTAGAAATGAAGAATTTAAAGGTACTATTAACATATATTATAAACAGTCTGTAGAATGCATAAATCAACTGCGCAATTCAGTATCGTTGTCTGTTAATATGCTAAAATCTTTATTATCTGCTTTGTCAATACTAAAAAAATTATATATTTGGGAGTATTCTAAAAATGCACACAATAGCCTGCATATAACAGCTACTATTTTAACGGAATTATTTTATTATTTGAAATATCTAAATATTGGTCCGAATGAAATTACAAAGACGATGAATGAAGTAGAAGCAAAAATATATCTTAACGAATTATCTGAGTTCCATGAGAAATTCCAAAGTGGTTTAAAAAATGAAATGAATCGTACCAAAAAATTTCGTTGTGAATTTTTAGAGAAATATAGAAATACTGCGTCATTGAGAATTCATTTTAATAATCTGAAGGAATCAATTAAATATGATGGTCCAGTTTATGAACTTATTTGCTCATATTTAAATACATTTTGTAATCAAATTATCAACACTGATTACGAAAATCTAGGGTTCAAAGATTTAATATAAGTTTTTTTACAACATTTTTTTTTTGTAATAATTTATATTTAACTTATAATAAATATTATCGTGTTAATGATGTATGGCTAAATAAATTACTATTATTCATCTCTTTTTTAATACTCATGAAGATTTTAAAGTCTTTTTCTAAATATAAGTTACTAATTGTAATAATCAAAAATAAGACGGAATTATTAAGTGAGAGATATAGATGTTAAAAGTACAGTTCATAAACCCACACAGCAATGAAATATTACTAGATTATTTCTTTTTGAAATTAAATATTTCTAGAATATAACTAGAGTATTTTTAAATATTCTCCCATTATTATTATATAAATATTTTTTAGAATCCTCGTAAAGTTGTATAATAAATGGTTATAAAGAAAAAAACCCAGCACAGGGGGGTCGCGGCACAATAGTGAAGTGGCATAGATGGATCAAGTATAATGATATCTGACAGTGATTAAAATCACTATCATAAGAAAAAGCTTCGATGCAAATCTTTAGATAATGTTTAATTTAAAAAAATTGGTGGATAATTCCAAAAGCTTCATAAACTGCTAGTTCATTATTAATATCCTAATTAAGATAAAGTATGTCAAATGAAAAAGGGATTATTAAAAAATAGTATTTCCCATAAAAAAATTATATTGATCAATACACTTTTCAATAAGTTATAGCACAATAAAGTTAAAAATGGAAAATCCAAAATCGAAAATTTTCACACAAAAATAGCATTCGGTAGCTATTTTCACCGTGAAGATAAAATAAAGTCCGACATTTTTTTTTTTCATGATAAAGTATATTATATTAGCTTTAATTTAAGATATATATAAAAGTGTCAGACCTTCCGGAACATTTTCAAAAATCAAGTTGAAAAAATTAATTTTTTGTGAAAAAGTTGTCATTTTAAATCCCCCCCTGTGGGCAAGTAAAGGGTCACATATAAAAAAAAATATACCAAATAAAAGGTAATGATATAATGCATCTATTTAAAAAAAAATTATGTTGATTTGTTTATTTTTGAAAAAGTTATGGAAGTTTTAAGAAAAATCAGTGAAAAAAATTACAAAATTTACCAATTTTTAAATTTGTAATTTTTTTGGATATTTTCCCCATTTGCGGGGAACAAGGGAACATTTTTCAATTTTTGAGGGTAATGTCTTCGACTAGATACGATTTGTGATCTTTTGACGTATCATTAAAAGAAATCGGTTCGGTGAGAGCTGAGAGCTGAGAAAAAGTGGTAACAGACAAAAAAAAATAATAA